CAGCACCCTACCACCCCCCACCACCATCATTAAACGGCGGTAGGTGAGCCTCGCGCGACCAGGCCTGTCGGCGCCTGAGCAAATGCCGGGGGATTCACGGCGCAGGTGTCGGCGCTGGAGCACAAAGCGCCAATTAGCTGCGAGAGCGTCCGGCACCCACAACTAGGTAACAAATTTGAGGCACGGCGCACACGGAAATGAGTGGAAATGAACGAGTGCGTGCGTGCGGAAGTGGGTCCGTGTGCGACCCTTCCCCCCCCCCTTCCTCTCTCTTCTCTCTCTCTCGCTCTCTGTCTCTTTCTCTCGAACTTTTTTTTTTTTTTTTTTTTTAGCTTTCGCTCTCTCTCTCTTCTCTCTTCTCTCCTCTCTCTCTTCTCCTCCTCTCTCTCTCGTCTCCTACTCTTCTATCTCGTCTCCATCTCTCAATCTTTCTCTCTCTCTCCATAAGACTCCACAAAAAAAAATCCTCATCAAATCTCTCAAAAACATAAACACAAGACCATAAAGAAATAACAAAATAACAAACACGATCAAAAAAAACAAAACAATCCGATCTAATCAAACATGAAAAAAAAAAACAACACCATGAGCACCATACATCACTATCAATCAATCATACATCTCATCCACTCAAATCACACACTCATACATCCCACAACAACCAAATCAAACTCGGCAGACTACAAAAAACTCATAAAAAAATACATAACATTAAATCAAACTCTCTGATCGTTATCCTTCCTCTCTATCTCTTAACGTCGTGCTCTCTCAGAATCTCTCTCTCTCTCTCCTCCCTCAGCCAATCTTCTGCTATTTCATGTCGGTCCTCCTCTCTCCGCTCTCTCTCGATCCTCTCGCCTCATTTATCTCTCTCTCTCTCTCTGCCTGCGTTTCTCTTCTCTCTCCCTCTCGCCTCTCCTCTCACCTCTCCCTCTCCCCTTCTCCTCTCTCTCATCTCTATTCTCTCATCTCTCTCGTCTCGCTCTCGATCCTTCTCTCTCTCCTCTTCTCTCTCCCTCTTCCTTCTCGATCTCTCTCTTCCCGTCTCATCTCGCCGTTCGTCGCTCTCTCTCTCGTCTCTCTTCTCTCTCCTCTCCGCCGTCGTCTGAGCCGTCTCTCTCTCCTCGCCTTCCCTCTCGTCTCTCTCCTCCTCTCAGTCCCGCCATTTCTCCGTTGATCTCTCTCTCATCTTCTCCCCATCCCTCCTCTTCTCTCTCCCTCTTCGTCCTCACCTCTCCTCCTCTCTCTCCCGTCTCTCTTCCTCACTCTCTCTCTCTCCTCATCTCTCTTCTCTACTCCCATCTCTCGTCCCGTATCCTCTCTCTAATCATCGCCTCGTCTCACCTCTCTTCTCCACTGTAGTCTACCCTCTCCTCATGGTCTCTCCTCTCGCTCCTTCTCTCCTCTCTCTGATCTCATCTCTTCTCTCTCTCTCAGTCGCCTTATCTGTCTCTCTCTCTCTCCCAGTGCATCTCTCTCAAATCTCGTCATTCTCCTCGTCTCAATTACGTCCTCAGGTCTCTAGTCTACTCTCTCTCCCATCTCCTCTCTCCCTTTTCCATTAATATATTATTACATTTTTTTTATTATTCGGTCCCTCTCCCTCCATCCTTCCCGCCTCACTCGCTCTCTTCCCTCCCTCCCCCTCCCTCCCTCTTATCCCCGAATCATTATCTCTGTTTATATCCATGTTTGTGTTCGTGCGCATGATTTCGTATCTTCCTCCTACACCTGCCTCTTCCTGTTTCTACTTTTGCTTCTACTTCTCCTTCTATTTCTACCTCTACCTTTATCTCTACCTTCTACCATCCTACCCCGTATCTTTAACTGTACTCTCCTCTTGCCACTTTACCTCTACCTCTACTGATCTCTACTTGTACTTTAATCTACTCTACCTGTATCTCTACCTCTACCTTTACCTGTATCTCTACTCTACTCTACCGTATTACCTACCTGTCTCCTACATCTACGTGTATCACCTCTACTCATACCTCATTTCTACCTGTATCTTAGTCTCTACCTCTATACTTATCATCTACCTTATCTACCTCTACCTCTAATCTCGTACCTCAATTTCTACCTGTATCTCTACCTCTACCTATACCTGTATCACACTCTACCGTATTCCTACCTATCTCTACCTGTATCTCTACCTGTATCACCTCTACCTCCATCTCTACCTCAATTCCTACCTGTATCTCTACCTCTATTTCTACCTCTGCCTGTATCTCGCTCATCTTCTTTCTCCCGGGGACCTAATTAGTGACTGGATAATCGTCCTCTTTGTTTTTTTTTTCTTTCTTTCTCTTTTTTTTTATTCCTTTTTGTAAGTGTTTGTCGGTCGATAGGGGAGGGAAAGAGGAGGAGAGGAAGAGAGGGGAACGGGGAAGAGGAAGAGAGATGTGAAGGAAGAGGAAAAGAGAGGGATAGGAAGATGAGAGAGGGAGGAGAGGAAAGACAGGGAGAGGAAGAGAGAGGGAGGAGGGGGAGCGGGGAAGGGAGAGGAAAAGAGACGAGAAGGGAGAGAGAGGGAAAAGGGAGAGAAAAAGAGGGGAGAAGGGAGAGAGAAGGGGAGGAGGGAAGAGGAAGAGGAGGGAAAAAAGGGAACATGGAGACGAAAAAAAAGGCAGAAAGAGAGAAGAGAAGAAAAAAAAGAAGGAACGGAGATCCAGAGGAAAAGGGGAGAGAGGTAGAGAAATGAGAAAAGAGAGAAAGAGAGAAAGGGAGAGAAGGGGTCTGTAGGGGGCAAAGTAGATCGAGCGAGCACCTGATTTTCGCCCTTACGAGCCCGGAGTGACAATCCAGCAACACTATTCATATTTCCGGCTTAACCTCAAACATCATTGAGTGGAACAAGGGCATAGCAGCTCATGGAAGACGGATGGAAGAGGCGGAGGAGAAGAAAGATGGAAAGGGAGATGAATAAGGAAGAGGAGGGGAAAAAGGGGGTGAATGAAGAAGAGAAAGACAAAGTAAAAAGGAGGGGGGGGAGTGAGGATGGATGGATGGATGGATATATGGAGGGAGGGGAAGAGAGAAAGAGAGAGAGAGATTGATAGACAGATAGATAAATTACACAACATTAATTATATATATATATATATATATTATATATATA